TTTTGACATTGCTTTGGAAAAAAAGATATTTCAAAATTATGTAGCATATCTATTGATAAATGAAGAGCTCAATCTCTTTAACAGTCGTTCTTTTTATCAGCTTTATCTTGCTTGCTCCTCCTCTCTCTCATGTATAAATTGTTTATAATACATTTATAATGTGTTTTTTTTTCTTTTTTAGTTCTGAAGAGGACATTCAACCCACATTTACAGATTACTATATTAATAAAGTTTAAAATAGAGTCATTAAGTTTTTTGACAATTCTATCCATACTGTATATAAAAGAAGCTTTTAATATTTAATGGTTTTGAATAAACAAACAATAGAGGATATTCATTGTTTTTGTATCAAAAGAAAATGTAATAAATTGCATTATAAAATATTTTCGACTTTTAGTTATAAAATTTGCTTAGAACTTATTTGAAAGAAATAACTAGATGTCTTCCAGGAAAAGTAAATTTTTCTTAAACATTCTCGGAGCCATGAGAATCATAAAGCTAGTGCTTATACCCATTTTCTGTAGTACTAAGTGGATGAGAGTCAAGGACATCCCCTTGATGGGACACAGATCCATCGCATGTTAACCCCCAGTCCTGGAGCTGGTGGTGTCACATAATATGTGGTCCATCTCATTTTAAGATCTGGAGGCACCAAATAGAATTGCATATACAGTGCGGTCTACCTCTATAATAAAAGGTCCGCCTTCAGACCTGCCTACCCTTTTCATGTAGAGGTGTAATATAAAGCCTTAATTTGGTGGAATTTCATTGGCAAATACATAATCCTACGATTTCTTCTATGTTTAGATTTTAATGTGTATAAATCTATAACCTAAACAACTTTGTATGTTGTTTCGCATAATACAAAGAAAGTAAAATCGTTTTAAATCATATATTATTGACATAAATTCCAATGATATTCTTAACATCCAGATAAGCTTCCGTAAACAGTTATGAAGTAATTGGTCAATTGTTTGCAATTTTCAAACTAAGTCATTACACTTATCATTTAATAGATTAATTTGTTGTCCTTTGGCATATCGCACGTTTAGTACCCATCATAACATACCAGGTACTGTTCGTGTACATAAATTGACGTATTCAAAATTTAGCGCAATCACTGGGTTTGGAGTTGTTGGCGAAATCATAAATTAGAGCTATAAATGTCCGTGCCGTATATTGTATTTATAAATTATTTCTTAGCGGTATTCATAAATTAGCGCATCATTGTCTGTGCCAAAGCCGCTAAAATATGAAGCCCGCTTTTTTAAGTACACATACAGTATATCAGAGCTTACAATTCTGTTAGAGCACAGTACAATAAATATGATAATCGTCACTGTACTACATGAAAATATTAATAACTCAACTTCTAAGCAAAACAAATTCAAAAGCGTAAATTTTATTGTTTTGGCGTAACAGCGTATTTTAGTTGAAAAGTACTGAAATTGGCTTAAATATGATTTGAACATATGAATGCGATAAATAATTAAAACATACGGCACGATGGAGGACCATAAACAGAAAAGGCCTCAAAATGACTCATTTCAGGGGCTATTTCTCTTGAGAAAACAGTGTCCACAGCCGTCGCCCACTGAATTTTTCAGATATTTTGTAAAATCCTTTTTAAAAAAATTACATTTCTCAAAATCTTTATGGGCGATGCATGTGCATATCTGAAATAAAATTCCACTGAAAATTGATGTCATCTGCAACTTTTAAAGAAGATAGGAGAAAATGCACAAATTCACGACGTCATAATTAGCATTTAGGAGGTCCTATGAGAAAAACAATTTGTATTTTCTTACTGCATGGAATTTCTATGATTCAGAAAGGATGAATTTTAATTTTTTAAATCACTTTCGTAGTTTAGAAAAAAAAAATACAGGGTCAGATTGGTATCGAAACTGTCTGTACCTTGTTTTTCACCAAAAAGGGAAAGGTAGGCAGGTCTGCACCTTATATGCAAATTACATTTTTTAAAAACTTTACTCTTCTGTATGTATTGATGCCAGATTAAAACCTGTTTTTGACAACCTGGTTCACATTTATACCTTCTATTTCCATAGCCAGAATAGCCCAAATGGTAGAACTGCTGACTTTATTGATATTAACACCGCAGGAATTTTTTTTAGAGTCGTGTTCGAATCCACCAGGTGACATGCTTTTATTGTTTAAAATCCTCGCCTTCTCAAAGACTATTTTTTATAAGGGCTCATGTATTTTCTTCAATTATCTATCCTTTATGCAAGTTGATAAATTCTTGATATAAAAGACACTAAAGAGAAAGCAAATCGTAAATTCCTATGTTACTAAAACACAATAACTCAGCATTGAACACCCCTCGAGGACAAGAATTATTCACTCTGTGTTACTAGATACAGGTATTCTCGCCTGTAATGAGCTGCGATGGATTTCTATTTTATATATATGTATTTTCCTTAGAATTTAACCCTCTGTACTATTAGTACTTTTCCGGGTTATTGCGCTGGAAAGTACACATATTGCTTGCATTATATGAGCTAAAATAAAATATTTAGAATTACATATATATGTTCTTTTGAACTGAGTTAATGTTCTCAATTCAGATCTCAAGTTTTGAAACAGTAGTGTTACATATTAGTAACCGAGCACTCCCTTGAATTTCATTTACATAATTTGTGTGCATTAATGACATGTTTTTTTAAAAAATATCCACGGAAATGTATTGTAAAAAAAACCCACAAGAAAATTACGATTATTACAATAAAAAGTAAAGAAAAATATTAACAAATACCGGTTACATTTCGAGACAACAAACTCAAAGTGTGTTGACAAAACGAGGGGTGATCAAAAAGTTCGCGAACTATCTCTATATTTACAAAACCACAATTCAGATCAGAAGGAAATTTGGCATACAAATACTCATAAACATGTTCTGTAAATAAAAGATGTAATGTAATGTTTTGATCCATTTTATGACGTCACAATGTGAAAATGATGTCAATATGTAGGTGACATGTGATGAAAAATGGGTGATTGTCTTACTCGAGCAGCAACGGCTGTAAAGTTTAACGTATATCTTTCCTTTGCAGTGGAATATAATAATTTATACAGGGTTTATGGAGACAAAGGACTTGCAAGAAGTTCAATCATTAATTGGACTGATTGTTTTAGTTTAGGAAGTGAGATGGTTAAAAATGATTTTTGTTCTGGTGCTCATTGAAAGTCATTCGGCAAACCTCGGCTGATTCCGTCATCTTCATCAAACCTCGTCTGTACGAGGAAACTTGATATGCATCTCCGTTTAAAATTTGTGATAAGGCTGCCTGTTTACCGCTTAGGGAAAACGTAACGCTTTGAAAACGATAATAAACATGCATCTGACATACGTTAAAAACTTTCAAAAGTATTTAGGTAACATTAAGAATAACACTTACCAAGAAACATACACATAGTATCTTTACATAATCACATGTTTGTTAATTATAGGGCGCAGCCATATTGCGTATAAAGTAGCTCCGGTCCAGTGGAGGTTTATATGATACAGCCGAGGTTAGATGAGGTACGAATCGGCCGAGGTGTGCCGAGTGCATTGAAAGTATGCTGGGAAAGAGATGTGCCTTACTTAAGCAATTTGTTATAAAAGATCGTCAAGTTACAGTTAGAAAAATAGTTGAATATCTTAAAATAAAATAATTATTAAATCCTGAAAATATCATTAACTTTCGATTTTAAGCATTTCAGTTATGATAAAGAGAACGCGCCCATACTTGATTCACATTAAAAAAAAAAAAAGACACTTCCAAGACAGAATAGACGGGTTGTGATGGTTACCATGCTCATTCTGGTAAAAGATATCCTTATCCACATATCCTATTGCCGAAGTTTGGCAATTTTTGATAAATGGACTATTCTTGTTATAAAAAATAACCTGCATGGTAATAAATATAAGACTCGGAAAATCTTTTAGCTGCTGTGACAGAATGCTACAGAGCATGTCACGTGACCACCTGGACCACGTGTTTCGTGCATGGGCAGAACGGTGGCAGATGTGCATTAAAACCGGAGGGGACTTCTTAAAAAATAATACACATTGAAACATAATTTTATTTCTTTTAAAGAAGTAATTCAATTAGTTCGCGAACTTTTTGATCACTTCTCGTAACTTGCTACGGTGCTCCATTTAGTATCACTTAAAGAGACACTAAAGAGAAATCCTGAATAAAAAAAATAATTTGCATCATTTTAGTGGGAAAAAAGTTTGTTTGTGGCAAGTGGCATTGGACATTTTATCATATAAAGGATGAGGAGGGAAGGGCTGGTAGAGTTGTGTTGAGCCAGATTGTTAATTTACATGACTTCGCAGGGAAGAATATTTTAAAGATGATGGGGGGGGGGGGGGTCATCATAAAAGGTCGACATTTATTTCTTATCTTTCCGGTGGAGGTCAGATTATTTATTTTTCAAAATTGTTAAAGACAAATCAGCTATTTCCTAAACCTGCTATTACGACCCCCCCCCCCCCCCCACGCCTTCAAGTCAAATGGTCGTTCCCGAATTAGCTGATGGCAGTTCTGTAGTTGATAATTGAAAATTAAGAACACCATTTGACTCGTGATATTGATTGCTTGAAAACAAGTATGGTTAACTCATAATTCGGTGCAGATATTGCCAAAATTTCACATTTATTGTTGACCAATTCACATATTCAATAAATCAATAAATCTATTTCAACTCATTTTTAGATACATTTTAATATCATGACAGTTTTCCCTTTAATATGGTTCATATACTAGTATGATAGACATTAACTAATCTTTCGATTTGTTTGGGGGAGGGGGACTTGCGCCGCACGCCTTCTAAATATTCCAGTTGTGTCCTGTGTGTATTTTAAAACAGACACCTGTATATTTTATGCCTTGGTGGACTTTAATTCGTTCACAGCCCCACTTCATGATGTGTAATATTATCTATGAATGTCCTAAATTTGGATTATTGTTAGGCGGATTTCAACAAACATGGCAGTCAGTAAACCAAAATATTCGCCGGGCTCTCCCCAAGAGCATATTAAAACGTGTGGATTCCACGATTTACTTATTGATATTATTTGTGAGGACTGTGATAGATTTATTTGTGCTAAATGTGCTAAAACAGATCATAGAGATCATGACTGGAATACCATATCCTCGGAAGCCAGCGAAATGAGGAGGGGTCTAGTGAGATACCTGAAAAAGTTAAGCGAAGAGGAAATACCACAGATTGATCAGAAAATAGATGATATATCAAAACAGATCACAGAAAATGAAAATATTTGTGATTTTCAGATTGAAAGTCTAGGAGAACATTGTAAGGAAATAATAGCAAATATAGAGGAAACTAAACAAAACCACGAACAGGCATTAAGAGACAATCTGACTAAAAAGAATACACAAATGAAACAACTGCAATCTAAGTTAGAGAGAAATAAGGAACAGATTCTTGAGACAGTGGAATATATTACAAAGAACAACAATTTAATGTCTGATTATAGTTTGATTGACAACCATAGGGAAATGGCACGTTTTCTGAGAAATATTTCTACTTTCGATATAGAGAATTGTGAACACTCGTTGAAATACAGAAAAGGAGAAGTCAGACAAGACTTCCTGGACAATATGATTGGAAAGATTTTTGATTTAGACAACATCGTTCTTGCTGAAACACACTCATTTAAATATGGTGATAAAAGAATAATTGCATTGAAGGCATTTTCACAAGATCATTGTTACATCGCAGAAATTCATTCAGATTTTATTGGACAGGTAAACAAAAATGGCGACAGAGAAAACAAATTCAGTATTTCTCCAAATGACCTGTGTGTTACTGATACTGGTGATGTCTATATTACGAACTATAAGGACGATATACCATCACTCTTCTATCACAATCAGGAGTCGTCTCTAAAGTGGTCAGTAAAGACCCTCTGATTCCCGTAGGAATCTGTCAGTCAGTGGATGGTGGACTTTTGGTCACCTTCAGAGATAGTGAACCAGATATCTTTAAAGTAGAATCTGATAGCAGACGTTTGGTGAAACACGTTACATTGACTGGTGACGTCATCCATGAGTTTGAGCATCAAGGGGACAAAAAGACCCGTCTCTTTACGTTACCATGGCGAATCACACAGAACGGCCATACACAAATTTATGTTGTGAACAGGACAAGTTTGACTTCGGGTGATGTGGTGATTTTGTCTTCTTCTGGTCGTCTTATATCCGTTTATCCAGGTCAAAGGTTAAAAGAAAACTTTACTCCGTGTGACATTGTGTGTGATTCTTATTTTAACGTCCTCGTCTCCGACTTATACAATCATCGAGTGCATCTGCTGAGTCCTGATGGTGAATTCTTAAAATTTTTACTGACAGAGAGAGAAGTGAACGAACCATTCTCAGTAACATTGTTTAAATCATCATTTTGGGTAGGAGAGAACAAAGGAATTGTCAAAGTTTTTCAGTACCAAATTTAACATCGCTTTCCTGCAGTCTTTGAAATTGCCAAGTCATCAAAACTAAATATGGTTATAGCGAACTGTAAGCTTAATTGGGGGCGAATTAATATGAAAAATTGCAAGGAACTACCATCAAGTCAAAAATGACATTAAAAAAGGGAAACGAAGGGTGGAGGTCTTGTCTTTTTTTTTCAAAAAATTAAACATCTTTCTATGGGGAAATCTGAAAATAAACTCCACTTTACAGTAGTTTATACCTTAATTTATTGGTCGCAGCTGTATAGCATGGTCTTATATTTGCTAAAGAGTTCCGCTTTGTAGTTTAATGGGGTTAATGAAAGTGTAACGAGGATTGGATACATCGGTCGTAGCTAAATGGTAGAGCACCAGCACGGCTAGTGGGAGGTCCCGGTTTGGCCGACATTTCTCCCGCTTGTTATAAAAAAGAATAAAAGTTTCCAGTGAAAAAAATAGTATGTAGAATTTAAACTTTTTTCTCTGACATTTCAAGACAAAAAAGATTTAAATGTAACGAATATCTTATTTTACATTCGTCAATGCCGTGGTCCGTTTTCCTATGCATTTATAGTACTTCATCTAAGCAAAATTTCCTAATACACTTTCATTGGTATTCATAATTCTTAATTTTAATTTTACCTGGATTCCATAGCTCATACGAAATGGGAACTCCTCTTTTCTGAATATTCAAGAATAAAAAATGTGTGAAGTATTATTTTCTAAGTATGATACATTACAATAATACACAATTTCAACTTCTCATTTCTTCCTATCCGCAAAATTGGCAAAATGGAAATTAACCGTGGTTCCTTTCTTAAGTTGAAATGGAATATCCATATGATTCACTTTTTTAATATCCACCAAAAAGGTTAATCCAATTATTATGAACAAATATTATACTTTGGGGTGTAAATGTACTACTTTAAAAATTCTATATTAATTTTAAGGCAAATGAACATTAATTTCGCGAGCATATTAAATCTAGTTATATAATAGTATCTTTTGAACAATTATAACACATGGAAAAAAAACTTTCTGAAAAAAGGTAATGAAGAAAAAGATAAAAGTTAATGGGTCTGGAAAAAAATTATGGTCGTCTGGCCGTCAAACAAATTCTTTTTAGACCAGTGAGCTACAGATCTGCAGCTACATACTATGTATAGACTTGACCTCTGTGGATACACTAGAAGAGAACAGAGTGACGACTTAGTGATGTCCTTTTAGGCTTTATCAATACAGGTATTTGTGTGACTACTGAGTACGACTCGGTTTTTTTCACAACACAAATAATAGAAACTTAATCTCTTTGGAAAATGGAGACAAGCTTCATCTGAGGTGATAACGCTTTCCCAATAGTTAATCTGTATGATAATCTTTTAAGTGAAAAAACTTTAATAATGGATGCATTATTTCGCCGAATCACTTCCTTGTTCAGTTTTGTAAAACGCGTTGTTATGTGTTTAAAATTTCCACTTTTAACTCAAACTATTGTAAATTATGATCATTAAGGTCAAAATATAACAAAGGTGAAAAATTACACAGACCAAACCGTTGATGAAATGTATTACAAGAATTTTGAACGCCCCTGCAATGACACAATCAACAGATAAAAAAGGACAAGAAAATAGCTCCTTGTTTTGAATTTAATATCCTCATTAAGGAGTTATATTCTATATATCACAGATAACTAGAAACATAGCTCCATGAAAACAGTGAAAAGGATTATTATTATTGTTTAACGCCGAGTCGGCAATATTTCAGCCATATTTCGGCGTGAAAAGGAAGAATCATCACTGCTCCTGCTTTCTATGACTTTGCAAGACAAAGTGTCTAGCAGTAAACTTTTGCGAAAAAGAAAAAGTCAAACAGCAATTCACTTAAGGTACTCCGATCCTCAGGTTCTGAGAATCAAGAGTTGAGTAATTGAGAATGCTAAAAAAATGTCTCCGAATTCTCAACGTAATGGGTATTCACCCATGTTATTTCTTCACAAAGTTCATCATTGTAATTAATCATATTATATTAGGAAAATTATCAAATCTCTTTTTTTTTCTTCAGGAAACACGAATAAAAGCACCCACTATGCATTTCTAATTGAAAAATTGTCAGCAAATATGTTTAAGGATTTAAAAAAAAAACTGGGTACTGTAGTATCCAGGTATTTGGAGAAAATTGCATGTTTTTTTCTTTATACAGTACTTTAGTTCTTCTATTTACTTCAATTGTTATATAAAACATAGTGTAAAAAGCTTGTGTTATCATTGCAAGACATCACAGATTACTTCTAATCTCAGATCGTGCTAAAAAAACATTGGTATCTAATATAAGGCTACATTAAAGGAAATTTGATTTCTCTACAAAAGTTTTTGTACATTTATGGGGTACAAATGTCAACTTTTTAAAGGCCATTTCTAAGACTTCAAAGAACCTTAATCATCCTGAGATGTATGAAATGAAAATTGTTGCACGAAATGATTTCAAATTCAAGCTTCATTTTGAGACTTTTTAAATTAAAGAATAATTTTAAGTTATCGTTCCTGGCTGAGGAGCGGATATCCTTAAGACTAGACAATGTTCAACAGTCTCTTTTCTGAAAATTGTTAAGCCTATGCTCAAAGAACTGTTTTGTTTTGTTTTGTTTTGTTTTGTTTTTTTTTTTTTGTTGTTGTTGTTTTTTTGTTTTTTGTTTTGGTGTGGGAGAAATATCTGTGATATTATCGAGCAATTCCTGATATTAATGGTCGTGAGAATATTTAAAACTTTGAAGATTTATAAAACAGAAAAACTATTCACAAATAGTAAAATAGTTGATTTAGTGCAGTCCCATGAAATGAAATATGGAGATAACGAACAGTATTCAAACTCATAAGTCTATTCAAACTATATAAATTAGGAGCAGAGCAAACACCACCACCAAAAATATCAGATGTTGGATCAGGTGCCATGGAGGAGTAAGCATCCCTGTCGACCAGTCACACCCGCCGTGTACTCCTTGTCATGACCGGGTAAACGGAAAAATCCGTAGCAATTTCATTGCGTAAATAATGGCCTAACAATTAGTATGAAAAATCTCAGTCAGCATTCGATCTAATAATAGATTGCATTTGCTGATAAGGTCATTGTATCGACCATAGAACTTGCAAAATTATGACTTCAAACGAGACTGCTGATATCCTTGTTTCATCAACTTGTTGGTTAATAGCTTGCCTCATTTTAAAAATTGATCGCACGTAGAGCATGCTCTTGCATATCGAATCAAATGGGAGACATAAACCTCATTTGCAGGTGATAAGGGTATATTGCTACATAAATAAGGGAAGTTGAAGATTGAAAAGTTGAAGTCATCACGTTCATCATTAAGTTCTGTTTTTAGGTTATCATTTGGGTTATCATCCTTTTCAAGTAAAATATTCAAATATGAAATAGATGCGTCAGACTTTGTATTTCAAGTTTACTGGGATACATCGAATCGACATATGAATGAAAGTTACTATTGTTGATTGATAATACGTCTTCGATGTATCTAAATGTCGAGTTGAAGGCCACAGCGAGCGTTTTCTTCTTCTCATGTAGAATTTTTGAATAAATTCTGCTAAAAAATGAGTACAAGAATAAATCTGTTAATAAGGGGGTGCAACTGATACCCACGGGAATTCCAAAAGATTCTTGGAAGACCTAATCTCCAAAACTACATAGATATTGCGATGAAATAATGGTAAGGACTTTGGAAATCAAGAAAGGACAAGAACAGTCATTAAAAGACGATTTGACTAAAAAGAATAAACGAATGAAACAGTTACAATTAAAATTAAACACAAAAAAGAAACATCTCGGGACAGATTTTCGAGACATCTGAATATATAAGAGAGAACAACAATTCCATGTCTGATTATAGCTTGCTTGACAACAACAGAAAACTGACGAGTTTTTTTTTTTTGAGAGAGAGATATTGATGCTTGATGAAAGAAAGAATTGGGAACACTTGATGAAATATAGAAGAGGGGATATCAGAGATGACCTGCTGGACAATATGATAGGAAAGACTTTTGATTTAGATGATGTCGTTCTTGCTGAAACACACTCATTTAAATATGGTGATAAAAGAGTAGGTGCATTGAAGTCATTTCTGAAGACCTATGTTACATAGCACACGCTTCTTCACATTTTATTGAAAAGATAAACAGATGGCGAAAGGAAACAAAATTTAAAAGTTTTTCCCAATGACCTATGTGTTACAAATAGTGGTGAAGTCTATTTCACTGTGGGTATTTCCATAACCCGTCTGTCACCATCAGTAGTCGTTTCTGAAGTGCTCAATACAGATACATTGATGGCTGTCGGAATCTGTCAGGCAATAATTGTGGGATTATTGGCCACTTTTGTGGACAAGAATTCAGAATTTTACAAATTAGAGTCACACAGCAGACGTCTGATGAGACACATCACAGTGACAGGTGATGT